GGGAAAGAGAGAAAACAAGCCACCAAGTCCGGGACTCGAACTGTGGTCAGCCATGTGGGAGTGTCCAGAGCCTTAACCATCATGCCATCTGCTGGTCCCCCAATCTTTCTTTTCTCTCCTGCATGCAAATGTAGAGCTTGGCATGTATATATGAGAAACTTGCATAAAATCCATTGGAAAACATGTGCATGCAAAGAAAATTCAAAGTTCTATTAATAGTGCTCTTTAAATGGAAAAAAAAATCTATTAGTACTTCCAGACATAACAAAACCAGTGACAACTGGCATTTATATCAAGCTTTACTGTTTATAAAGTGATGTCGTGTCTCATTTGGTCTTCAAAAACCATTTAGGCACTAAAATGGGAATTTTTTTTTCAACAGAGATAACTTGGAAAAAATTTGTCTGTCAGGATGTGAAAGAGTGAAATGCTGTTTAAAATATTTCATAACAGCAGACACATTTTTTTCGTGTGTGGGGGTCATTTTCCTATAGGTCCATGCACTCACCAGAGAGAGACAAAGAGAGGGAGAGTGAGAAATCACTCCCTGGGGGATGGCCACACCATAATCCCTTCTCCTCCAGTCTTCTCTTAGGATTTTGGGTATGTATGCACAGATGCCCAGTGTGATTTTCAAGCTGCCGGGTCTGAGACTCAAACCACGGTCAGCTATATGGAAATCTAGAACCTTAGTCATCATGCCATCTGCTGGCCCTCCATGGATAAAATTTTTGGAAGGGGATTCAGCATCTTTCTTTGGTAATAATCTTAAAGATATTCTAGGCCTACCTTTAAAACAACTATCTAATGATTCTTCTAGGTCATTTTGTAAGGCACTCTGACATTAAATTGGAATGCTGGCAATGTTGGTCCTGGACTCCTGCGCCAAGGACTGTGAGAGAAGTTACCATAGAGGCCAGCAGCTATCTGATCATCTGTCAGGTTCACTGGAGACAGCGCGCTTTCCTGAGAGGCCACGGCATCCTGGCGGCTCCTGGGCTTCCCTTCTGTGGTCCCCGCCTCGTGCTCAGGCTGAGAGGTCTGGCTGCTTAATGGCCCTCCTGACGTCAGGCCTCCACACTTACAGGTACACACCAAACCATTTCCTGTTAGAGAGGAGAAAGATACAGAGCATGGGATGAAAGAACTGAACAAAATGTGCTCTGTGGACAAAAAAAGTGTTTAAAAAAGGTTCTTTCAACTTGTCCTTTTCTCCATCGTGTCCATTGCCTCTTTGCAAAAATGGGACTGCTATCTCAGCCACTTCAACTTGAACTCCTAAGTCCTCCTTTGACTCTTTTTGGAAAAAAAAAAATATTTTTTTCTTCCACGTGCAACAGAGAGAAACAGAAAGAGTGAAAGATTGAGAGAATCCACCAACAGGGTAGCAAGATCACGATTGTCCCGGGCCTTCGGCCAACCGCAGCTCATAGGCAAGCGTTACGCAGCGTACTCAGGGAGGCCTCTGGACTTCAATCAGAACCTTCCTGTGTGGCACTGCCTTGCAGTATGTCATATTTCACTGCTGTGCCGCTGCCTGGCCACTTTTTTTGACTTGTAATCTTTCCTCTTACTACCACATCTGGATCTGCCATGGCTCCTGCAAGAATACATGCCCTATATCAGAAACCTCTCAACAAAAAGAAGAAAAAGAAAACAAGGCTGGACGCATGCACGCACACGCTCAAAATCCCAGGAGGAGAATGGAGTAAAAGGGATTGTGGCACAGACAACCCCTCTTGGGGGGGTGGGAAGGAGTTTCTTACTTTCCCTCTCTCTAGCAAGCACATGAGCCCTATGGCAAAAACCTTAAAAAGAAAAGAAAAGAAAGAAAAAAAGGAGAAAGAAAAAGGGCTTGAGCATGAATTCACCCTCTAAGCAGGGTTGGGGAACAGGAAATAGATTCTTCATGAAGGATCACCTTCTTTTTGGGTACCTACTACGCTGAGGGGAGAGGACTAGGCATGCAGGACAAGGAAATGCAATCACTGTTGTCCCTCGGCTGTCCTCTCAGAGTGCCAAAATGCCGACACACGTGGTCACCTGAAACTGGAGGTAGAAAACTTAAAAGGTCAGAGCTGCCGTTTCACCATTTCTAGGGTCATTTTGCTATTTTCCTGGGAAACGACAGGGTAGCTGTCGTGACTGTGTCTAAAAGCAGGTTCTCACGTAGAAATTAAAATGCTAGCATGGATTAAGAATCAGATTCCTCCTTAGCACAACTCCACCCACGATTAATTACATACCACCCTAAGATTTGACCCAGAAAACATAAGCTGACAGGTCACATTGACTAGCCCATCGGCTGGGTTAAGATTGCTCTGTCTTTTCTGGTAGAGCTAAGGTCTTCCTCTCCTGGGTCTTCAGAGAGCTGACCGCAACCAAACTTGGAGCGCTTCCAATGTGCCTAACGCACACTGCTGTAGGTTATCATTCACGTTTCTGCCCGGGTGTGTTGGAGTCCCAGTGAGACGGGCATACACCCATGCAGTCTCCAAGGTTTGGACCAGTTGACGTCTCTCTGTGGGAGTACGGTATTTTGCGGGCACACATGCACACATGCCAGGAGTGAGTTTAAGCCACCAGGTCCGGGACTTGAACTGTAGTCGACTAATGGGAGTCTAGCGACATAGCCATTACGCCAACTGCTGGTCCCAAGGATCAGTTTTATTTTATTTTATTTATTTATTTTTGGAGAGGTTTTTGCTATAGGGCGCATGTGCTTGCCAGAAAGAGACAGAGAGACAGACAGTGAGAAATCACCCCCCCCGGGGGGGGATGGCCATGCCACAATCCCTTCTCCTCCATTCTCCTCTAGGGATCTTGGGCATGCACGCACATGCACCCGGCATGAGTTTAAGCCACTCAGGACTCGAACTGCGGTCGACTACATGGGAGTCCAGCGACATAGCCATTATGCTAAGTGCTGGTCCCCCCAAGGATCAGTTTTAAAGAGCAAGATTTTCAGATGACTTGCAAAGGCCAACAGATTTTAAACATTTAGAAATATACTTTTCTCAGAGCTGAAGTACCTTACCCGGGGTCTGTAACGGATGGCCTAGGTCTGCAATTTCAATTTTCCTGAGAATTGGCTATTCTTTTCTGAGAATCGAATGAAAATCACGCACTTCCTTCACAAAAAGCCCAAACTCAAATCTATTCCTGAAGCCATGGGCCCAAGATAGAGAAGTTCTGGTCTAAGGCTGAGCATTCGAACATTTCCCTGAAATAGGACTTGGGAGCAACCAACAGTTGGTGGCAGTGGTGATGGTGGTGGTAGCAGCAAATGCCTGAATTTTGGGAATCAAGTTCTCAGCTGAACTGGCAGGTAGCCTAGGGGAAGAGCTACTCTCATAGAACAATCTTGCCGGAAAGGACTCCAGGAGAAAAATCTAATCCAATCCCATGATTTGACGCAGGAGACCAAGGAAGCCCAGATTCTTCTGCCTGTTGCTCTCCCTCTCTAAAATGACAGTGCAAGTCATCTGTGGAGCCAGCACCAGAATGCAGCTCTTCTGGCATCTAGTGTGATTTTCAAGCCGCCAGTCAGGGACTTGAACCATGGTCAGCCGTGTGAGAGTCCAGTGCTTTAACCATTATGTCACCTGCTGGCTACAACAGCCAGTTTTTCATGAACACTTACACTCTGTGTTGTACACTCCCCAGTGCTTTACTCCTACTGACTCACCGAACTTTCACCACTACCCCGTCTAGAGCAAAGACAACTCATTCCAAAGGCAGAAAAAGAATCGTAATCCAGATTGGCTTCAGAGCTCCAATGAACAACTTCTTTAAAGTATTGGGTTCAATTAATGACTATTTATATGCCTTTTTGGTAGAAGTCAAACCAGATTCCAAGGATGAAAGTGTGAATACTTTTTACTTCACTGTATCTTTCAGCACAGAAATTGCATCCTAGACTCTGTGTGAGCAACACTCCACACAGTCAGATGTGCACAGCAATCCCTATGTGTTGTGACACCCCTTCACGCCTCACGGCTTGCTACAGTTGACAATCTCTGCCTTACTATATCAAGCTGCTTTAATCTTTAGCCCATATAACCAACAGCAGATAACAACAACTGAATACCCAAGGTTGATTTCCTAACCCAACTGCTTCCTCATTAGAATTCTAAAGCAACATGGCTAAAATACAAAGGGGATGTGAATTACAGAAATACTTGGACGTAGTTCTTGCGTGCTCTGAGGAGGCTGCCACTATGACCAAGTAAGTGCGACTAAAAATATTTATTCTTTGTTCACGATGCTGTAAGTCTCCTGTATTTCAGACGATTAATTAGGTGTTTTCTTGCAGGGTCAGATCTAAATAGTGATGTGTGGAATGCCAGCCTGATTGGAAACTGACCAAAAAACACTATAACCTAGCCAGACCAAACCTTCTTCCATCTCCATGCTCTGGGAATCACGAAATGGTCCCAATGTTATAGCTGAATATTTCTGGCAAGAATGGGAACTAGAAACCTGTCTGGGGAGGTGGGGGGGGAGCTGGGAAGAAAATACTTCTATTGTGGATGCTCTACCGTGCCATCTGTGTCTGGAGGTATTTAAGAATTTTATTTTGACTTTAACACCTCACGTCATAATTTTTAAATGGATGGAAGCAGACATATTTTTAGCTACTTAAAACTTTACTTCATTCCACACATCATTTTAATCCTGTCTATTTTAAAACGACTCCCCTGTACATTCATTAGACTCCCTGGATTCTGAAAGTGAAAAATCCACACACCCCAGCTGTTATGTTCACGTTTCTCTTCCACAATACACTAACTGTCTCATAGCACATAATTATTCAGGTTTGAAAGTGGAAACCCAGGAAGATGTAAAGCTCCTCTATTTCAGTCCATTTCTATCACTGCCTTTCCAGACTAGAAACGGAAACAGGCTGAAATGTTTGTGGGTGGCTTACTCAGGCCTATTGTGCACGTCTTCACACCAGGACACACTCAGGAGTGAGAACTGGAGAGGCAGAGCAAAGCCAGCCAGCCTGGCCCTAGGCCTAGATGGTGCTATGAGCTGCTAGACAGACGCCAAGGGGGGGTCATTACGACGAGGCTCCCGGGTATGCTCCCGGGGAAATACCGTGTGTCATAAACCTTCCAGGGTCATTTCTCAATTACGCCTTTCCATGTAAAGAAAAGCAGAGGTGAGAATAAACCCAATGAATAAGGAAAAGAATGAGAAAAACAAAGATGAAAGTCCCTATCAAGATGAACAGTGGGAAAAAAGTCTCCTCTCTCAAAATTCGTGCTCAAGGGTCCCTTATTAGAGAGGCTGTCTTTGATTACCTCCTGTCAAAGAGGTACTTGCTGTAAGGCATATGCATTGGCCAGAAAAAGTGAGAGAGAAGGAGAGAGAGAAAGTGAGAAAGAACCTCCCAAGGGGGTGGCTACACCACACTTCCTGTCTCTTCTACTCTCCTCTAAGGATTCCGGACACACACATGTGCCCACTGTGGTTTTTCAAGCTGCAGGGTCTGGGACTTGAACCATACAGTCAGCCATATGAGAGCCAGCTGCTGTAATCACCACACTACCTGCTGGCCCTGGAGTTATTTCTTTCTTTTTCTTTTTTTTTTTTTTTTTTTTTTGGGGTTTTTGCTTATGGGGTGTGGCACCT